CATATATCTAATGCACAAAAGGTGTATTCCACATGCTTATTTTAGGATCTGGACTCAGTTTATATTTTACTGTACTCATCACAGAATAAGTCTGCAGGGATATTCAGTGTGTACCAATTTACTCACAACTACTCAAACACTTTTTATTATATATTGGCTCATATATGGTTATAAGGGGGAAAAAAATTGGTCATTATATAATAATTAGATCTATCAGTCATCAATGTGACTAGTGTAAAAGAAATACATGCTTTGGAAAATAATTCTAAAAGTAATGCAAAGTACCTTATAATACAATTCAAAATTCCCAGTTAGCTTGTTTAAAATTTTTTAAACAGACCTTCATTTTAACAAATAAAGTTGTGTTCAAATTAATTACAAAAGCCTATGTAAATGAGCTATAGGGATTATTTTGGGGTATTGGAAAAGCTCAAAAATTGAGCAAGGATAATAACTGCACAACTCTGTAAATTTACTAAAAATTAATAAATTTAACATTTAAGTGTATATCATGGTATATAAATTATACCGCAATAAAGATATTTTTAAGTTCTTTATTTAAAATCGTGTTTATTCTACAAAGGTTTTCTCAGTTTTTCCCCCTTTGCCCTCCACCACCCATCCAACACCCTCTCCCCCGTCAATGCCCACTCTGTTGTCCATGTCCACGGGGCAGTCATACATGTTCTTTGTCTTCTCCCTTCCCCTCCTTTCCACCATTGTCCTCCTTTCCCATCCCCTCTGGTCACTTTCAGTCTGCTCCATGTTTCCATGCCTGTGGTTTATTTATTGAAAAGTTTATTTTGTCAAATATATTCCACTTACAGATGAGATCATATGGTTTTTATCTTTCACAGACTGGCTTATTTCACTTAGCAGAATATTCCATCCATATTGTCAAAAAGGTAGATCCTTTTTTCTTTCTTTTTTTTAAATGAATTTGGTTTTATTTATTTAAATGTCAAAATCCATTATAAAACATTAAAAAACTTAAATCCATTATAAAGTTTCAGCATTAAAACAACATGACGCCAGTACAGAAATAATCAAGTAGATCAGTGAAATAAAATGAGCATTCTAGAAACATACATATATATTTAACAATGTAATATATCATTAAATTGATAATTTAAATCAATGGGGAAAATAAGGCTTATTCAACAAATTAGGTGCATGGACCACTATTACTTGAAATAAAACAAAATAGAGCCATATTTCACACATTATACAAAAAATTTACAGGTGAGTTAAAAATCAATATGTAAAATCTAAGGAGTTTTAGGAGAAAACACCAAATAATATTTTCTTACCTAAAAGTACAAATTTCAAACCCAGAAACTATAAAGTAAAATACTGACAATAAGACCATATTAAACATTTAAGACTATACAATATACATATAAAAAAAGTTAAAGGACAAGTAATAGAATGGGAAAGTATTTGCAACATATCTAAAAAAGAGTTAATAGATTTTTTTTTAGGGAAAAAATTCTACAAACATTTAATCAAAAAAATGGATAAAGAATACCAAAAAGTCATTTTAAAGCTTTTTAAAAATAATAGAAATAGGCAAGGAATCTACAAAAACAGGTTTAGTTTCAACAAATAATAAGGTAACAATTAAAATAACACATCCTTGTCACAATCAAATTAATACATATTAAAAATATTGGTAATACCAAGTATTGGTGACTGTCAAAGGAACAGGGTATTCATAGACTCTTTTTCTGCATATTCTTAAAGCAGTCCCTTTAGCATATCTTGCGATGCTGGTTTGGTGGAGGTGTATTCTTTTAGCCTTCTTTGGTCTGGGAAACTACTTATTTTGCCTTCCATTTTAATTGAGAGCCTTGCTGGGTAGAGCAGTCTTGGTTGCAGGCCTTTGCTTTTCATTATTTGGAATATTTCTGGCCATTCCCTCCTGGCTTGTAGTGCTTCTACTGAGAAGTCAGCTGCTAGCCATATCGGGGCGCCTTTATGTGTTACTACCTCTTTCTTCCTTGCTGCCTTTAGGATCCTCTCTTTGTCTTTGATATTTGCCATTTTAATGATGATGTGTCTTGGAGTGGGCCTCACTGGGTTCCCCTTGAACAGGACCCTCTGTGCTTCCCAGCCTTGTGTGACTTTTTCTCTCCTCCAATTAGGGAAGTTTTCCATCATGACTTTTTCAAATAGGTTCTCCATCCCTTCCTCGTCTTGTTCCCCTTCTGGTGTCCCTATTATAGGGATATTATTATGTTTCAGGTTGTCCTGCATTTCCCTAAATGTCTCTTCATTCTTTTTTGAGTCTTTTTTTCATTTTCTTGCTCTTTCAGGGAGCTTTTTCTACCTTATCTTCCAGCTCTCTGTTTTGATCCTCTGCTTCATCTACCCTCCTTTTGATTCCTTCTACTGTGTTCAATTCAGAAATTGTACTCTTCATTTCCTCTTGTCTCTTATTGATAGTTTCTATGTTCTTTTTCATGCCAATATAATGCAGTAAGTTCCTCATAGTTTCCCTATAGTTTTTGGTAGTTCTCTCTGAGCTCACTGAGCTTTTTTAGAACCATTATTTTGAACTCAGTGTCTGATAGTTTACTTGCCTCTATTTCATTTAGTTCTCTTCCAGAGATTCCCCCTTTTCCCTACTATTGGGGGGTGTTGTTGTTTTGTTGTTTTTTTTTTGTCTTCCTATTATTTGTGAGACTTCTTTTTTGCTTCTGCTTCTTCAATTGATCTGTCTTGATTTCCTAACTTTGTGGTGTGAACTTCTATGGTAGGAGACTGCTGTTTTTTCTTTCTGGATCTGCCTCTGATGATGTAAGATGTTGACCATGTCTGACCTTAGGCGGTCTGTTCGAGACTTCCAGGAATCTACTGTCTGTGGCTGTCTCCTTCAGTTGTTCTAAAGTTATTTTTAAAGAAGCCTATCTAAGCCATTAAGTACATAAATCTTTGTATTTTTTTTCATATAGTGATCCATGCTTCCCTAAAACTATTACAGTTTAATGGTTCTTTAAAAAATCACATAAGAAATGGGAATTTGTTTGATTTATTAAAATTAATGTATTTTGAATTCTAACTTTAACCAGATATAAACTTAATTAAGAGATTAGCAATTCTGTTATAGAATGGGTATCCAATTTCAAATAATTTACAATCTAATTCATAGTTCTATAATTTTCAATTGTATTGATCACTCTGAACCTAATACTTTTTAAAAAGGGTGTTGTTTTAAAAAAATAAAAATAAAAAAGAGAGAGGCGGAAAAACAGTTCTAAAGTGGCACCAATTTAGAGCTCCCTCCACCCCTCTTTTCCTTCATTACTTTCTCATTTTTGTTAGTTTTTTCAGGATGGACACGATGGTTGATGAAGAAAATGTTAATGATTCTTCTTAGAAAATGGCTTGGCTGAGGTTAGGCTACATGTTTCAGTTAGCTGACTGTTCTCACAGAGGAAGTTGTCAGAAATTTTATCTGTTTTGTTCACTGATACAGTCCAAACACTAACAAAGCCTGGCGCACACTGGCCTGCCATTAAAATTCATTGCTGTCTTTCTTTATCAAGCTAGGTCTTAAAGTATCATCTAAATAAACAAATGCAACCTCAAGCAGTCTTTAGATATCTCTGCTTCTCTCTCCTCATTAGAAACAAATTGGCTCCTTATTAAATCAGTTTCGTCCAAGGCTAAATCTTAGATGGGAATGTTAGGACAGGGCATGGGTAGAATAGCACATGGGTAAATATAGGGCAAAAGTTCTTCCTAAAACCATCACTGGCTAACGTAAGGTAGTATGTTACAAGGATAATCTGCCTTGAGGTCAAAATTAAAATCTACATGTGGCAAATTCAAATTGACCAAAATGATTGTTTGAAGTCCATGGCAATTTTAAACCTAAACATACTTAATATGTATCCTAAACACTCATTATAAGATTACTACTATTTTACCAAGGGTAAAAATATATTTAATAATAGAGCCTGTAGAAAAATTCTCAATACACAAGCTAACACCAGCTATACCACATCTAATGTTTCCAAGAATAAGTAACTAAAAGCAAAACTTAATTTTTTTCATAGAAGATATAAGGGAAACTTTAGAGATGCAGTATATGGACCCTTTCAAAAACATCTAATGTTTGCAAGAATAGGTAACTATAAGCAGAACTTAATTTTTTTCATAGAAGATATAAGGGAAACTTTAGAGATGCAAGTATATAGACCCTTTCAAAACTTTACCTTGGTTGATATCACCAAGAATTCATTACATCTATTTTCATTTGAAAATTTAGGCCTTTGTTATTTATAGATTTGCATAAAAAGGATTAGTCTTATTTTCATCTGCAATACTGTGTAGTTTTAGATTCTCATAGTGAGCGAGAGAGATAAAGAAACTTTCCTAAATTAGAGAAGAAAATGCAAGGGAATTTCAAATGAGCCATCAGTGACCAAAACATAAAAATAAAAAAAGGTAGAGAAAATGAAAAAGAGTAGCAACCACTAATGACTCATGTCAACTTGACATTACTAAAAACATGTAAGAAGGTAAAGAACGACAGTACTCAAAATTAAGTAGAAGTGGAATAGCATATAAAAAGATATTTATACATTATAAAAGATATTTATACACCTTTCTTATTAAACACAGTTTTTCATATTTCTCACGTATAACTTTACGTGACCTAGCTGCTCCTGGTTGACCAGAATCCCCTGAGTAACTCTTCTCAATAGAAAATCTCAACATGATCTTTACTCCATCTCTAAATCAAGATTAAAGCATTAATTTCAGATAAATATTAGCTCATGCCATGTTTTCTCATTGGTGTTTATGATAATTCATCAGACTTGATCATATTATATAACTATGTCAGACCATGGTTTATGAGTAAAATCTACTTTTAAAAATAATGATTCCTTGGGAATAAAATAATTTAATATGTAATCTACACACATGAATTTCCAACTCTTTTTAAAAATAATTTAATATAGATTTAAAAATTCACAGGTTATTTCTCTTACCATTCAGTAAACAAGACAACCAGATCCTCTTGACTGGCATAATGTTCCATAACTTCCTTCATTAATCTCACTTTTTGGCCCCCTCCAATGCTATTAATTCCATCACCACCTCTCCACTCCTCTCCTTGACCAAGGACCTATAAATAAAATCAACATTTCATCCCTGAACAAAATTCAAATGACAATATCACAAAAACTGGAAGGCATTAGCAACTTGTACAGTATCACACAGTAACCACCGTTTAAACATCTCCCTAAATCATAATACTAAAAAGGAAACAACTTGATACCTAAGTCAGGTCATAATTTTTAAATATTATCTACCCCATAAAATGCTACTCCCAATTTCACGATTTCAAAAGTAGAGTCTAACCTGGCAGAGGCTGGGGGTGGGGGGTGGTCACAGAAAGTATTTCTCATATGTTATTTCTATTTGTTCAGATTAAAAAAGAAATGAAGAAAGTTTCCATAACACTTTCAATCTGACAGGAAATCTCCATGATGAACACTGAAAGCCCTGGAGGCTCAGTGACTCCTGACGGGGCCTTAAGCAATTTTCCTACTAAACCAAACTGGGCTGTTCGGCGAAACACAGAGAGCATCAAGTCAAATATCACCATCTTTTCTTTATACACTACCCTCAAAGTTTATAGTAATTCATCCGTGCAAAAAATTGCTTACGCACAATTAATCAGAACTAAACGTGGAGCTGTTCTCATCACTATCTACCTTCACCTCAGCAGCTCCCTCCTGAGTTAAAGGTGCATGGTGACACAGCTGGCTACGAGGGAGTAGGAAGTGTTTGTCCCTCACACGCAATACACACCTTGTATAGCTTTGTTTCATCAGAAGAAAGCCTGAAGTCCTCAAAATAATGATATACTTGGAGATTTGTGAAATTAAGGAGTAATGAAATCAAAAAGTCAGTAGAAAAGGATAAAATAAATTTAGAATATAAATGATTAATTCCAATTTTATTTAACATTGTGCCAAATGTACATCTGGCTGGCAAAGGCCACCTCTCTAGTTATCACTTCATGAGAAGTGGAAGAAAAAGCTAACCAAGAAAACTCAAGCTGATGTGGATCTGAACTCATACTGGGGCTAGTCAGTAGATGGCATTAGTTTTTGTCCTAAAATGTGGCCTCCTCTGACCCTGGGATTTATTACACTTCCACTTCACAACCCTCCTGGATTTCTCCAACACTCCTGTAATACCAGGCCCAGTGCATCCGAGAGACCCGCTGCACACCACGTATACTAGGCACGATTCTCTGTTTTCCTTCCATTAAATCAGTGTGTCAAACTTGGGCTTGCATGTGAATCACAGAGAGGGCCTGTTAAACAGAGACTGCCACGTCCTGCTCCCAGAGCTTGTGATTCACCAGGTCTGAGGTGGGGTCTGAGAATCTTCATTTCCATGTCCCAGATGATGCTGATGCACTTTGAGAACCACTGCATTTTATAAAGGGAAGTCAGCAGGAGGATCAAAAACTCCAGGCAGACCAACAGGACTGGGGTCTGAGATTTCACGTTATAGCTCCATACCCTGGGGCAATTTTCCTCGCCCATGAACAAAGCAGAACACTACATAGTTCATATAGTGAATCAACAGCACACCATATATGAGGTCTGTCCAGAAGGTATCCAGCCATGTAATATGAAAAATAGAGACATTTATTGAAGAAGATTCAAGATACAAGAAACATGGTACAGAGGAAAATGACGCCTCAGTCTCCTTCAAAATAGGCACTTTGGGACCTCACACAGTTCTCCCAACAGCCATCAGGTACCCTATTGTGTTTTCTGAATCTCATTGCTGGTCTGAAATCTCTTCTCTTTGAAAGATCATTTTAGTTTGGGGAAAAGCCAGAAGTTATAGGGTGCCAAATCTGGGCTGTAGCAGGACTGAGTCACCTGGGTGATTTGATGTTTCACCAAAAAATGCATGAGGTGGGAGGCATGAGTGGGTGCGTTGCTGCAGTGAAGCTGTCACTCACCAGTCACCCATTGTTGAGGCCTTCTGAATCATCTGAATAATTTCCGTGGAGGAATGTTCACGCTTAACGCAAAGTTTGATACAGATTCACTATTCTATTTGTTCAGTCATTTTGAATGCGATGGTCACACAGTACACGTGCTCACTCAACCATGTCTACCACCCCCACGGACTAGGTACCGTGAAATCATCATTGTTCACACATGCACATTCCAGACCACTTTCCTTGGTCACCAGGTTACATCCATGTCACACAAACCATTCTCATTATATTAACAAGGGCTGGACTTTTTCTGGACAGACCTCATATACTACATAGAAAGTTCCTAACATGATGCCTCACACATAAGAAACACTCCTTGCTCTCCCAAGTCTGAACCCTAAAGATTTCTCTCATTGTATTTCAGCATTTTCACTGTGATTTTTCTGTTACTCCAATTGTGTCTCCTATCAGTGCAAACTACTATATTTTTCCGTTATCCTAACAAATATATCTTTTTCATTTATCCTGTTGTAAACATCTAGTTGTTACCACTAGCTCTCTTTCCCAGCAAAGTTCATCCTCTTTAATAGCTGTTTTATAATAATATCTGTACCTAGTCCTCCAGTGGAAGCAAATTCTACCTTCCTTTTACATTACATACTGGAACAGCTCAGTTTTTCCCTAGGCAAAACTACCCCACCCTTTGTAAGGTTTGGCGGGGTTTTTTCATTTTCTTTTGTTTTTTGTAAATGAGTTAATTTGATTGTTTGTTTTCCTATCTGGGATTCCTCCCTATTTTCTCTTATTTGTGGGGGGAAAAAACCTGGCTGAAAGGCCATCATTTATATTTGAAAAAATAAGTAAAAAAAAAAAAGCCTTTCACAGCTCAGTTTACTAGTTCATCAAATTCCTCAGGTTTCCTCTGATCATTTACCAATGAGATATTCCCCAGGAGATGTCTTCTAAATGTTTTTATATTTTTATGTTTCCAAATTCCTCTAAAACAAACAAAAAACAGGAAATGCAATTCTCCAGAATGGACAGAAAAGGCATCCCCTTCATCATGTTTGCATTTCTCTGTAAACAAAGTAACCATATGGCAGACAAAAAATATTGCTGTCAAATCTTAGTTATGTTGTGCTTACACATGACCCCCCTTAAAGAAATATATAGAAATACATCAACATATTTTTCTGTTATTTTATAAACATGTTTATACAAAGCATTTAGCAAGTCTAAGAAATTACTATCTGAGTGGCAGAGTATTAATGAGGCCAAAATGTACCTTAAACACAATCGAATACATATAAATTTTAACAGCAATTATGTAACCAAATTCACCTTCTTCTATGGATCCCATATTGTGTTGCTGTTGTTATTGTTGTTATAAAAATATACTTTAGGCACATACTTTAATATCTTCATGAATTAAAGATACACCATACCTTCACAGTGTAATTGAAGTATTTGGCTGACTGCATAAACCGATGGAATCCATCACTTTCTTTTGTTGCTACAGTTATGACTAATAATTTATCTGCAAAGACAGAAAGAAATAACGTAAGATGGTTTCCCAAGAAAGAAGTTAAATACTCCCACTTTACAATCACCATAGTGATTCAAAATCTCATGCACTCATAGGAATACTCTGCTTTGTTAATCTACACAAAAGATAGAGAGCTGCTGAAATAAATAGGCAATTCAAGCTGGTGATACTGCTGCCAAACGATGAACCATTGAATAAAAAAAGTATTTTAATGATAAGAAAGTGCATTAATGTTTTTGGAAAAGCATGCCCTCAACAGAGAATTTCGGCACTTCCAGAAAATACACAATATTTTTATCTGTAAAAATAGTCTCCCCTAGATATTACCTAATCAAACAGCCTTATTATCACCTATCAATAATCACTGATTCATTACACACATCAGTGAGGTCTGGAAACACATTATATGTCAAAAGGAAAGATCCAACCATGAGACTGGTCATAATTTCTAAAAATGAATTTTGATAAATTGGAAGCAAATATTTAGAAACAGAATCTTAACTCTTTTCTTCCTATAAATGAATTGTTGTATATTCAAAGTCTGTAAAAACAACATTTACATCACCTTGAGTGTTTTTTTTTTACTTTAAAAGAATAAAAGAACCAAAATCCACACTACCCTAGTAAATACAGTTTTTAGTCACCATTTTACTATATTGGATTATTATTTAAAATTCAACAAAAGACTCCCTCTTAGTAGAGGAGTAAACAGATTTAAGGAGTCTTTTCAAGATGCCTATAGAAGCTATTAAAGGAAATGTTTATTAGGAAAAAACACATTGCAAACTGCATAAAAGAAACAACTGCATCAGCAAATGTCAAAGGTGCTGGGACACTGATTTTTTTTAACCTGAGGATACAGGAGGGCCAGAGGACTATGAAAGCAAAACTAACACATTTTTGATATTCTAGGCACTGGCACTAAGCTATATGATTTGATTCTCACTTGCTTGTTATAAATAAGAAGAAAAAACTCAGACAGTCTTAAGTGTCCCCTAAGCAATAGACAATCAATGAATGTAACATTAATGTATTATAGGAATCAATTTAAAACAATTTCACATGACCCAAACTAGTCATCAAAATTTGAAAATAATTAAAACTACAAAGCATAAATAAGTGCAGTACATATAAAGAAGTAATAAATTTAAACACACATTGGTTAACCCAAAAAAGGAAAAATGTTCCCATGAAGATAAATATCAACATTCTTAGATTTTTTTTCTGTTAAGAGGAATTTCTCACATAATATTCACCATTATGAAAAATAAATGTTCAAGGAAAAATAAGTCATTTTCATAAAGTTGTCAGACCCCAAGTAAATATATTTTAAAGTACTTTTTCAATTAATAATTCCTTTTTTTAAAAAATAATCATGTATAATGTTTCAAACAGGGGTTAACCAATTAAGAAACTCTATCACATTACCAGTCACAAAAAAATTTCAAAATAGTCAATACTAGATTATATTTAAATCATAAAGAACATGGTTTATAAAGTCCTTTTTCTCTGTAATATAGTGACCATTTAAAGGTAGTTTTCTTAACTGTTTCTACATAAATTATAAGAATTGGCAACAAGTTTATATTTTAAATGGATAGATTTTTATGCCTACCATTTCCAGTATAAAATTAACAGCGAGGATTTCATCATCCTTAATTGGAAAAGTAATGTTGGCCAAACCCTTGGGCAGACGGATGCGTCACCTAATCCAATGACTCAGAAGGCAAAACTAAAAACGTCTAGTCTGGCAATCTTACACCAAATAAGGACCGCTGTTCTTTCAATACTGTTGCTAAATACAAATAATAAAAATAAATAATTGTGTTAAATGAAGCTATGTTTAATAACATTATATTTATGTAAACACCTGTTTCCTCCACTAATCATTACTGTGATGAGAAATAAATCTTACTCAATTGGGGGACATAGAAGAAAGTACTGATATGAACTACTCACAAGCTCTCTCTGACCAATTCAAGAGTCCAACTTGCTCACCATTTATGAAGTGTTCGTCCATAAAAATTTAACCTACATTTGATACATACTTTAGATTTCACTAAAATTTACACTATAAACTTACCTAAAATGAAAATGAAAAGCAACTGACCCATAGGATTAACGGCAAATGTGAAAAAAAGGAAAGAAAAGTGTTACACTCTATTAACAGAATCAAGAGATAATTCAACCAAATGTAAATCATGGACTTTAGTTGGGTTCCAATGTGAAAAACTAACTGCAAAAAGGTACTTATGAGAAAATCAAGGAAATCTGAAGACTAATTGGAAATGTGTTAATATTAAGAAATCATTCATTTTTAACATGGTAATGACATTGATTTTTTTAGAAAAGAGTTCTTATAATTTAGTAACAGATACTAAAGTATTACACAATGACAAGATAAAGTGTTTGTGATTTGTTTTAAATTTATTTGAGGTTAGATACAAGGCATTGGAGGAGGAGGAGGAGGATAAATATTAAACAAGACTGTCCATATATGATAACTGTAAAAACTAGATTCCTTTCATTATGTTTGGAAAATCCTATAATTAAAAAAAGAAAGTTCAACTTTATGCACAATCCCTTACCTTCCAAACAGAAAAATGACAAAAAAATATTCAAAATATAACTAGAACAGTCTAAATCACCCAAGGAAAGATGAAATAGATAGAAAGCAGAAATTTTCTAAATAAACAAAATTATAATTTAAACAACTGTGATGAGTACCCAATCCAGTCCATCCAGCACAACTGAAATGACAAAGTGAGGTGATAAGGGAATGGGCTTGAGTAACAGGCACCGGCACCCATCATACACGACCAAACCCAATCTACAATGATGTCAGAGGAAAGGTCAATGGAAGCTCAAATGGGGCCAAATGTAACCTCCATAGCCACTGTCTGACTCTATTAGAAAATAGATTAATACAGTTTGCATGAACAAGAAACAGGCAATGCATCCAGAGTGTTGTAGATTAGAACAACCACTTACCCATGAAAATCACATTATAGAAAAACAACAACAACAAAAAAGATACCTCTTTAAACAAGACCCACAAAATGCCTATCAGTATCGTAAGATTTAAAAAATATTGAAATGGCTAACTATTTAGCTCTCTACAAAAGGTCAGATGAATATTAGAACTTCTCTAAAAATCAAGAAGTTAATTTATTTAGAAAGGTCAAAATATACTATGTCTCTCATGAATGCACTCATAGTTCTTGTGGGAAAATGCATTGTTAAAGACTCTTTTTCCTCCAAGTATTTGTTGATATAAGAGCAGAATTTATCAGTAGATAGTGATGACCTAATTTTTCTTACAAACAACGGATTTAAAACAAAGTTTTTTTGCTCATATATCATGTCTTCAAATGCTAAATTGGCACATAAAAACCATCTGAAATTCACTGCCTTAATGACAGGGATTATATTAAGTAACTCAGCATTAGCCCAGCTGCCTTTGATCTCACCACTGAGGAATAAATTTCCTGTCTTCCCAAGAAAACTTTCTCCACACAGACTCAAACCAGTCCTTAATTATAAATTAGCAAACATCAAGAAAAATAATTCTACCACAGGAAGACTGAGTTCATTGTTCTCATTCTGCAACTCACTCATTTTATGACCAGATATGTCCTTCATCTGTAAAGATCAGTAGCTGTCAATTTTAATGAAGGAACATGTTTTCTTAAAATGGTAAGCAAGTTCAGGGGCAGGAAACTATTGCTGCAAAAGGACAAATCATAAATATTTTAGGCTTTGTTGGCTACATATAAATTTCTGTCACAATTCTTTCTTTTTCTTTCTTCTTCTTTTATAACCTTTAAAACTAGTGTTCTTTTTTTTCTTTTTAGTTCTGTGGCTTTCTGTATAAAAATAGTCATGGGCCAGATTTGCCTTTGTATCATAGTTTGCCACTGTGGTTGGCTGTATAAATATGAAGACAAACCATCTGAGTCCAAACCCCAGCTCTCCTACCATTTATTATTTGTTAGAAATTGATTTGTTCAACTTTGTGTCCCATCTGTTTCTCATCTTTAATATGTGTGTAATAATAGCAACTACCTGACAGGTTTGCTGTGAGGGTTAAATTAGTTAATAAATGCAAAGTAGCTAATACACTGTGAATTCGATGTACTAAATAATATCATATTTTTCTCATTATTTCTACTCAAAGATGCATGGAAAAGGTAGATTGTAGTTGTGCAAATTTCAGCAGGTTATAATTCTACCTTTCTTTACAGAAATACACTCAAGAATCTAGTATCTCTTCCAACTCTTAGTATTTTATGCTAAGGATGGTTAAAAAAGTTATGTAAAAATAGTTCAACTTGAAGTTGTTCATACAAATAATTTAGCAAGTAACTGTAGAAACACTTTCTCAAATATTTGCATCTCTCTTCAACTCCAAGCAAGTTATATAAAACTAAATCAAATTACAATCATTATTAGCCCAGGCTTCTGCAATAGCCTCTTAAACCCACTTACCCACTTCAACCATATCTCTACTAAGCAGCCAGAGTGGTCTTTTCACAAGGCTTATATGTCTGATCATGTCACCCCACTGCTAAACACCCTCAAATGGCTTTCCATTGCTCTTAGGATGGTGGCTGGGATACACTACCTCAAAGTGGTCCTTAACTACCTGTATCCTCTCCAATCTCATCCATTACCTCTCTTTGCTCTCTCTGCTCCAACTGCACTGGCCCTTTTTGATTTTTCCAACAATGTCTGCCCCCTCCCACCAGATTAAAAGAGCCTGTTCAAGACCGCTACCTAAGCCCTCCTGACTTCTTGATGTAGCTACCGCCTATTCAAATGTGAGATTCTTACATATATGCCTTTTCCTCAAGACCTTCCCAGACCTACTAATATAGGTCAGTACCCATGATACATTTTTACTGCACTTCCTACCTCTCTTCAGTGCACTTGCCACAAACTGTAATTGCTGTAATTGTATACTAATTTTCATGTTTCCTGTTTGAGATTAA